CTGTATTTGATAATGTTTTGAACTTTTAAAATATTGCATGGTAAAAACAGAAGCTGCACTTCATATTAATGACAAACGTTGGTGTGTTTTTTTTTTTATGGGTTACCTTCATTTTTGCTTCTACTTTTAATTTAAAATAGTTTTCCACTCTCGGCAGGTTTCTTCTACATGTTAAAGTTGTTTAACATTTGAGTGGTGCACTACCGCTACTAGTGGTGAGAAAGTGTATTGCACCTTATTAAAAATGAATGCGGTCCCGCAGCCCTCTGCGGCCCAATGTTAAAAACTGTTGTTCTTTTGAGGCCCTCAAGGTGGCGCTTGCGGCCCACAATTGGGCCGCGGCCCATAGATTAAAAATCTATGCTTTAAAACAATTAGAGTTWTTAAGTCACAGCAGGGATGTGCTTCACTCCCCCTTCCACTTTTTTTTTTCTCTCAGGTTCGTCAAGCCATTGATGAAGGCAACTGCTGCTTCGGAACAATAGATACCTGGCTCCTGTTCAAGCTAACAAAAGGTTGGTGGCAGTAATTACTTCACCACCTCCGTCTTTCAGCTCAGGGTCTTTGAAGCCTCCAGCTTCAAATCACAGCATCTGATCCATGCTGTGGGTTTCATTTAGCAGAGTATCAAATGGGACATGTCAGTGCTCCTTGTTCTCCTACCTTTTTTTTGTTTTGTTTTGCATCACTGATTGCAGGAATTTTGAAGGAATGTTTCAGTTCACCCCTCTGAGGGAGGAACATAAACACGGTTTTTAATCCTTTGAGAATTTTTTGGTTCGCCATTAGTTACATAATTAGTGTCACTTGTGTTTTAGGACGAGTCCATGCCACAGATTACTCAAATGCCAGTGCGACGGGGATCTTTGACTCCTATCAGGTCTGGCACTTGTTGTTGTTTACATTTTACTGTGTGTTTGTACGTTTATCTTTATGACATTCATGTTGTGACTCACTTCACAGATGTGTTGGAGTGGATTTCTCTGCTCTCTTGTGTCTCTGCCTCTCTCCATTTTCCCCAAAGTTGAAAACACAGGGTGAGTGTCTCCGCTGTAAGGTATGCACTAATCCAGGTCTGGGCAGTCCTGGTCCTGTGGGGTGTGTGTGTGTGTGTTGGGGGGGGGGGGGGGGGGGTCGCTATCCTGCATGCTTGACCTATTTCTCTGCTCCCAACACACCTGATTCAGCGAATGAACTACCTCTTCAAGTTCTACAAACATCTGTTAATCACCTGTTCATTCAAATCAGGTGTGTTGGATCAGAGAAACAAGTTTAACCTGCAGATAGTGRTCCTCAAGGACCAGGACCACCCACCCCTGATCTAATCTTCAGACCAGTGAAGTTGTTTTTCATTCAAGAATGATAACAGAGAAACCAAAAGCCACAACTAATGCTGTGTTCCAGTAGTCCTGGGAAGTGGTAATTTCCCTGTTCCCATTGGTAGATTTAAACTGGAACGCCCCCTCCACTGGTAATATTCCACTCATATAGTGGAAGAAATGAAACTGCCTCCAGTTTTGATTTCAAGATGGCGGCTACTCGCAGCTTTAGAAAGTTAACTCTATAATGTCCTGATGCATCTCAGTAATCCAGGTAGAAAAATCAAGAAGAAGAATAAGTAGGTTCTCTGGACAGGTTCTTCTTTAATGAAATGTTTTGTCTCTCTTTCAAGAGACTTCTCCAGTCTGAAGGGCTCGACACACAGGAGGCGACGTCGCTCGCTCTCCATTCATTTCCTATGGAGCCTGTGCGATGAGGTGACAATCWCTTGCCCTCCTCCAGCTAAGCGACCGGCGAAAATAGTGCATGTGAAATTTTGCGCTCGTACACGTAGACGTGCACACGCAAGCTTGCGACGCGACATATGAAAGTTGAAAAATGTTCAACTTTTGTCACTGTCGCTTAGTGTACAACCAATCAGCGAGAGTTTCATTGACTGACCAATGAGCGGAGAGTATGCTACACACTGCAGTTAGCTAACACCTTCACCAAGTGATTACTAAAAAAGGCAGTTTTGTGGGAATTTGCTGGTGCCAGGGTGAAGTTATCCGATAAATTTTTCCTGATAAAATTGTATCTTGATGTGCGTTTGTTTTTCAATATCATTAGCATTGCAAGATTTGTTTAGTTTACACGTCTGTAATGCCCCCCCCCTTTTTTCTGAACCACCAATAACCTTTACAAGAGGCAGCAGAAGAACCAATCAAATTTTGTGAAGACAAGCGACCTGAGAGCGTGTTTCGCAACGCTGCAATCGCCATCACGTCCCGTGTGTCAGGTTTCACCCTGGCTGCGATGACAGCCATTAATCGCTGTAGTTTGTCACCCCCCGTGTGTCGAGCCCTTGAGGAGTTTCAGGTGAACTCAGCCTTATTCAATTCAATTCAATTCAATTCAATTCAATTCAATTCAATTCAATTCAAAAATACTTTATTGATCCCAGAGGGAAATTAGGTAAAATTAGGTTATAGGCTCCGCCTCCACATGGTGGACAAACAGGTTGGTCACATGTAACAGAGGACCATCAGCCAAACAAGAGGTCGTTAGTGCCTTGATTGACTCTATTGTTCATAGAGGTTCATGTGTTCCATCACCTGACTATCGTTGAGGCCCTGATTTACACCTTTTTGCTCACAGGGTGCGGAGTCATACTTGCAATAACAGCATTGTAGGAGGGCGACAACTGGACATGAAGACCTCCACCTCTGTTTAATGATGAATGGTTTTTCTTCACTTATACAGCTTCAATGGTGAAGTTGGTCTGTCTTACTTGTTCATTCAAAAGCTGGGTCTGTGCCCTCTGTAGGATATTACTTGCCAGTTGTCCATCAACAGAGTTGAAGGCTCCTAGGAAAGATGCCACCCTGTCTGCAAYGAAGGTTAMATCTCAGATGGTTTCTGTAGTCCGCCTTCTTTCTTGCTGTTTGCTCAAACTCTCGAACTAGTTTCAGGCAATCCTGGCCAAAGTGGTTCATATATCCTGATGCATCTCAGTAATCCAGGTATTGCATGACCTATTGTTTGGCTGATGGCCCTCTTTTGCATGTGACCAACCTGTTTGTCCACCATGTGGAGGTGGAGCTTATAAGGCTGAGTTCACCTGAATCTCCTCAGACTGAAGAAGTCTCTCAGAGGAGAGACGAAATGTTTCATTAAAAGAAGAACCCGTCCAGAGGACCTACTTATTTTTCTTTTTGATTAACTCCATAACTTTTACTGTTAATTATCTTTCTTAATTTTGTGTGCATGTTTAATCACTCGCACAAGTAGTGTTTTCTGTGCAATACTGTACTTATTAAAATCAATGTTTATTTGCATGACGTACGTAGTAGAGCTCTCTTTTTGTCATTGTTTATATTGTAGCAGTGTTGTAGCTAGGTTAGTGGCAACAATACAATCACCTGTCGGCTAACTGGAATGCAGTTTCATATGTTCTGTTGGAAAATGACGTCACTACAATCTACCAGTTCCGGGAATATGATGGAAATGGACCGTAAGTGGACCGGTGTCTTTTTGAAGGGGGCTTCTGTGGAGAAGTTCTGAATCATCACCTGTTGTAGAAAGCTCTGTCTGCCAGTACTGATGAGCTAAAGGCTAGTCTGAACATAGCCAAGAGTCTTAGCTGTTCACGTGAAAATTATTTTACACGTTTGTGTCTGTTGACAAAATATCTCATGATCAATCTAATAAAACTCTATAAAGTAGTCATTGAATGTACATCAACAAATTATGAACTTTCAGAATCACTTTAAGATGGCTGCCACTGCTAAGGTACTTTACTTAAAACAAAATGTTTATAACTCAGCAATTTATTCTTTTTTAAAACAGTGAGCTAAAATATGACGCTGTAGAATCACTCTGAGCTGCTTGTACATGATGTTGTTTTAAAGGGGCAGTATTATGTGTTTCTCAGGCATACATTTAAATATATACCATAATAAAGTATATACAGTATGTCATCTTTAGCTGTTATTAAAATGCTGTTTTTATGTTTAAATAAAAAATAAATTTATCTTCTCATCACTTCCTCTTCTAAACACCTTGAAATTGGCCTCTGTCTCTTTAAGAACCTCCTTCTGCTTCTGTCCCGTCCCGTTCAGTGTGGRGGGTTGGTGCGYGCTATGATGCATTTTGCTTGGCATCTGAAAATACATTTCTTCAAAGGTATTTGGAACCTGAAAAGAGCTTCTCTGAGTGAGAAGTAGTGTTGAGAGCAGCAGACTGTTTGTTTCACTTTCACTTTGCTCTGTTACTGACGAGAGCCTGCAAGTGTGGGGAGTGGGGTTGGGAGGTGTGTTCCGTGATGAGGAAGCTCGGCTGAAAGACATGTCCCAGAGGCGTTTCTGATAACAAAAGGCATTTCTGGTCCCCACCAGAAATGCTGAGGTTTTGCTCCTCAGCATGGCTTCCTAAAAACGCTGCAGGATTTCTYAAACATGCATGAATGAGTCAGAGCAAGGCTTTGTGCATGTTTTTTTTATGAGATTATAACATTATAACATGATATAAAACTCAAAAAAGTTGATTTTACTTTATTGCCCCTTTAAAAGTAGACATATCCTGCAAAATCCACTTCTTTAGCTGTTAGATACATTTATTTATTTTTTTTTAGACTTTGAGTCTCTATGAGGCAGAAAGGTTTAATTTAATCTCTCCTAGTGCTAAAAAGATATCTTTATATTCTGTTTGAGTCAGATTTTTCAACCTGTTCAGTTTTCTTTGTTTTCTATGACATTTTCTGAACTATAGCATCACATTATCTGCGACAGAATTACCATATAAGGTCTGGACGAACTACAATTTCCTCGTCTTCATTCTCCATTGGTTCTGGGTCAAACTCTGGTTCCAACATGGACAATGGCTGGATGATTGACATCTTTTCTTTAAATTTTACAAAAAACATTTCTGCAAGCTAGAAAACTTAACCCCCTTTCTCAAACTGAAGTGGACCAGTCTGGAAGCTGGAGGGGGGTGGGGCTTGAAGCATCTTAAAGGAACAGTAAAGCCGGATTCACACCAAATGCGTTTTGAGCAGCAAAAATGCACCCAGCGCCTCAAGTTGGACGCGCTACGTTCAAACTAGACACAGACTAGACGCGCGTCAGAAGAAGGAGCGTCTTGGTTTTTTCCAGTGTGTCTTTAATGACGGGTGAAATAAAGATAAAATAAAGAAAATGACTTTGTTTTATTTGCTAAAGAGCAAGCAAACATTGCGCACACCAGAGTATTTATTCACCAGATGATTTAGAGGCAGTTTGTTCAGTTAGTTTCATCGCTCCAGGAGTTGCGAGCTGACAAACTATTTTTTTGTCCTGAGCCCAATTTAACACCGCGGTCAGTTTAATGAGCTGCTGACCCACATCCCTGGTGATATCTCCAGCCAGAACACAAACTGCAGATGGTCCATTTCAGCTAAAGAGCTCCTGTCCTTCGGTTTCAGGTTAGTGGGCAACATTCAGGAAACCGTCACATGGAAAAAGGATTCTGTCTGATTGGTTGACGTCGCGCAGCAAAAGTTAATTTTTTTTGGCTGATTTGGACGCACCGCATGCACTAAAAACGCTCGAACAGCATCCTATCGCTTACCTTGCGCGCCGCGCTAAACTGGCTAAACACGCCGCACTGCTCCAAGACGCGCATCCACCATAGACTTTGGATGTAAACTGGCTGCTTTGTCTGGTGTGAACCCGGCTTAACAAAATCGGCTGCTTTGAGACACACAGCAGAAAAGTGGTGAAAGAGGAGCTGGTAAAGTTAGAATAAGGAGGAATTCAGACCAAAGCTTTGTAGTTCCACTTTATAAAGACCCAACTGAAGAATTTAAATGTGAAAAGGAAGGATTTAAAAACAGGATATGTCTACTTTAAGGTTTAACTGAAGCAGTTATACTTCTCAACATCATCTCCATCTAAAACTCTGTCATGAAGAGAGGTGGGCRATATGATTCCTAAAATGAATAATCTGGCAGGAGTTTTAAAATATTTTTGTGAAAATAACTGAACTGTAAAACTGGCGGTGATGTAAAGTTAAAGGATTTGCATTAACCACTATATATTTTAGAGACTACAGTTATTTTCAAATGCAAGGGGTGGGGCCTCAGATGAGAGGTGGTGCAGAATCATGACTGACAGCTCTGGAAAAGCTGTTGCATTCAGGAACTGTGGGAACTAGAAATGTCTTTCAAACATAATTGATTTACTGTTTATGTAATTGTTTTTGAAAACTAACATGCTTCACTGATATAAGCTGTTTAAATCTCAGTGGAAAAATATAATGGACAAATTTGCGCATCATCAGTTGGAGGATCAGAGTCTAAATATGTCTAAATGTAAAGTTTCCTGCAGTTTGTCCTGATGGACGAGCTGAGACAACAACTGATCTGTTTTCTCCTTCATGATCCATCAGACATAACTTCGGCTCCACTGACCCGTCCATCTTTGGAGTGTCCATTCCCATTATGTCTGTGGTGAGTGGACCTGGTACCATCCTTATCTGACTTATTACTGTAAATGAACGATGACCCACTGGCTGCTTTCTGCCAGCGTGTCGCAGCTGTTATGTTGTAAAAGAAAGATTTCACTAATCAGTGTGTTCCTCCTGATAAGACTGGTGATAATAAGACCGGTCWGGCAGGACTTGGTGTTCAGCAACATGTTGGAACAAAAACAGCCCAGTTCAGTCTGTATGTTCAGATTACTTTTTATTAAATAATAATAATTATTATCTAACATCTGCTGATGTTAATAGAATCTGTGTTCAATTTAGAATCATCTTAAAGGAAAACAATGTTTGCCTATGTAATAGATTTTTATTATATTCTGTAGGAACACCTTTATGTTCTTGTTTTATTCTAAATAATTCTGTTTTCTACTTTAAATCAGTGATTCCCAACCAGGAGTACGCGTACCCCTAGTGATACTCGAGTTCAGGGGTTACATGGAAAAATTTCCCACATGTGTAAAAAATGTAAATAAATAAATAGGACTGGGATATGTAGATCTCTATAATTTCCTCAATGCGGAAGATGCAGCCAGAATTGCGGAATTGACAAAACAAAATGGAATCCAGTATAAGAACTGGAATCTCAAGGAATTTGTTCATTTGGACGAGTTTCTGATGTATTTTGGACAATACAATTTATTTTAGATGCTGCTTCCTGTACCTGCCGTTACCTGGTGTATTTATTTAATTACTTATTCACGTTCACACTTTCAAGGCAAAAACTATAATTGCCTGAGAAATAAATGTATAAATTAAGAGATTAGATTAGGTTAGATTAGACTTTTATTGTCATTGTACAGAGCACAATGAAATTACAGGGGGGTTAAATAAATATTTTTAGTTTAATAATCAGCTGTTGTACATTATAGTTTTGTGGAGAATCATCATTATGTTTGACAGAGGGGTACTAGTGGTATGGCAGAATGGCTCAGGGGGTACACAAGTGTAAAAAGGTTGGGAACCACTGCTTTAAATGTTGAACTGTAGGACTAGATAGATTTGCTGGTTCCAGGCTGTGGTTTTAGTTGGGACCGAACGTTCTGTAAAATGAGGTGTCCGATGATACTAGTAAGTTGCTGCTCTAAATGTTTCGGTCAGAACCATGCACAGCCTGATTAGAACCAGAAAGTCATACAGCAACCCTCCTTCCTCTAACCATTCTGTAACCTGCCTAGAGGCGGAGCTACTAGAAACCTCTCATGGAAGAAGAACCTCAGTTTAGCCTGTTAGCTTTAGCACAGACGCTATTGCCTTATATGTATTAGCGCGGCGCTAGAGCAACAGACTAACAAGCAAAACTGAGGTCCTCCATCCATATTTTCAGTTACAGGCTGAGTCATTTCTACCTTCTCCTCTCTGTCARCGCTCTCTGGTTTCATTTAAAAGAGTCAATAGTCAGATATTGTCCAAGATTAACCTTCAGGGTGGATATAGCTCGCTCACACTGAGGACCTATCCACGTCATCATTTACCCAGAATGCGTTGTGTGTAAATAAAATGGCTCAGTCCATGTGATATATTTTTAAACTTTTAGTTTAAAAATGATAAAACTAAACAGCCTACAGTATTTTTACAGTCTTTATTTTACAGTTAAAATACATGTTTATCAAATAAAGTCAAATGTTACAACTAATCATGGATCCCTCGAAGACTGTAAAACCTAAAAAATGTCAGGTGTCTGCAAAAGGTCATTTGCAAAAGGTCATCATCAATTTTGATTCAACATTTTGTTGACAGATTTTGGAAAAGCTCAAAGTAAAAACAATATTCTGAACTTTAGTTGTAAAACAGACACTTTTCTTTGGAAGCTGGCGTCTTCCTGAAACAACTCTCTTTCAAAAAGTGTTTTTTCTCCAGTGAAACACAGGTAGAGCTTGTTTCCATTAATGTTAGTCTGAATTCAACACAATCCTAATCCAACTAAGCCACATGCTTGTTCAAAAATAATCCAGATTAGCCCTTTCATTAACTGTAGCAGATTTAAAACATCTTAAAACTCAGACTGTACAGGTTGGTTTTTTTGTCCTAAACTTGCAGATCTGCTTCCACAAACACACTTTCAGACCCCCCCACCCCCGACTTTCTATTGTAGATGGCGGATCAGCAGGCGGCCATGTTTGGAGAGTGCTGCTTTGATGTCGGCGATGTGAAAATCACCATGGGAACAGGCACCTTCATGGACATCAACACTGGGAGCAAACCACATGCATCTGTCGCAGGTATAGGAGCAGCACGCACWCACTTTTACCCACATTTGTCCAGGCGGACCTTCTGAAGYTCCTCCCCTCGTTGCAGGTCTATATCCTCTGGTGGGATGGAAGATGGGCTCAGAGGTGGTGTACCTGGCGGAGGGAAACGCAGCCGACACGGGAACGGCCATCAAATGGGCACAAGAGCTGGGTGAGTACTGAAGCGTAACCAGAGAYCTCGGCCCGTATTTATCAAACTTCTTAGAATTACTCTTAAGAATGCTGCTAAGAGTGGACTTAARTGTAAAAAAATTCTTAGTTAAAAGCTGAGAGTAAATGTCAGTTATCAAGCCTCTCAGTCTTAYTTTAAGTGAAGTGTAGGAGTAATTCTTAAGTGTCAGTCTTAGAGCTGATTTGCGACACTTGGCTGTGCCGCAAAGCTGATCCTGGATGACATCGTTAGAAAAAACCAGACATGGACCAATCACTGCCTCGTATTTCATGTTCAAGGGTATTGTTGGAGAAATGTCAAAATAAAACTGTGAAAGTCCTAAGATAAGTTCACTTTCAACATACTAATGTTGTCACCTTGTCCTGATTGTCTGTAAATTACATAAAATTTCCTCATTTGCATCATGAATACAGACGAAAAATTTTAAATCAGAAACTCAGCAGCTTTAAGTTAATTTATGTCTCAGAGCCTGAGGTAATGTTGAGCTTGCACCCTTCTCCTCTTCGCCACTGTCTGCAGACAACACCGGTTTTTACACACACGCACACACACAACCCGCTCTGTCATTAACAGCTTGGTCTGAGAGGAGCGCACCCCACCCCCCACCCTCCATCGTTGCATTGCGTGATTGTTAATATAATAAACGAATTGTTCAATCCCACCGTAATTTAAATTTTTTTTGCGGGGGTGGGGTGGGGGGGGGTCGCATGCACTCACCAGCTGAATATATTTAATATTTTCTCCAAAAGTCACACACAAATATCTGCCTTTTAGTCCAACATTTTGCACAGTTTTGTTTTTTGTTTTTTTGCCTTTGTTTCCTTTGTATATTTATGACTAAACCTGTTACACCTTATAACTGAGAATAACACTCAGGTGGGGGTGGGGGAGGAGGACAGCTGTGTTCTCTGTGTGTTCTGTCTTCTCAGTCCATCTCAGACCCCTAGTGGCAACTCAACCACTTAAGAGT